GACCTACTTCATCCGCTTGCGCGGTTTGGTAGACGTGCATCAGGTACATGGCCACTATCTCTGGCCTGATGTCGTAAATGTCGCTCGCCCGAATGTGTAGTAGCTCTGCCCAATCTAGGAACTCCTGCCATGGCTCTTTGTACTGGGCGACTGTGCTGCTAGCTCGCGCCTTGTGCGCCTGGCTTGCCAACGCCAGAGCTAGATCGCCGATCATGGGGTTAGCGTCCAAGGGCACCTGGCCAAGCAGTGTCTGCGCGCGTGCCCTTATTCCTGTGAAAGCCGGGGGGCATAAGGGTCGGGGGGCACAGCGATCCGGCGCGGGGAAGGTGTTTGGAAATCGATGAGAAGTGCGAGCGATAGCCAGTTAGCGGACCCTTTTGGGATCTCGTTTCCCGAAGACCCTGGCAGGAAAAGATCATACGCCTTGCCCAGCTCTCTTAGGCCGTGGACGCAAGGCGCAAACCACTTCCCGTCTTGAGTCAGATAGGACCACCAGTCGCGCGTCGGCCAGAGGGGAACGATCAGACAGATGCGTGCTTTGCACAGCTCTGCGTGCCGCAGGACCTTAAGTAGCAAACAGAAAGGCGGGTTCGCCCAGCAATTCCGCCCCCAGTGAAACCGAAAGGCATCTACACCCGCGGTATCTGGCGTGAAAAAGCGGGAATAGTATTGTGGCAGCTGGTGATTGGTGTGTGACGCGAAAAGATCAATGTCAAAGGGGCCCCAGGCGGTGTTGAGCCTCTGAAATTCCTTACGGTTCACCATCCAGTCGTCCCGGTCCTGCAGCTTTGAGAGGTAGTCCGCCAGAGTGTTTTCTTCTCGCGGCCGCCACTCCGCCTGCAGTGTGATACCCTCGGCAATACAGTACCAAAAGATTTCGCAGGCAATCCGGTACGAGTCCTCGGCTTTTGCGGACCCCTTGTTGAGGACGTTGGCGCAATTGAGATTGTCAGTAATCACCCGGACGACTTGGTGTCGTAGGCCTGCAGGACCGTTGAAGGATTGAAGTGCGTGTAGGACTGCCTGGAGCTCCTGGGGCGTTGACCCCATCGAACTGACCCTTACTCCCCAATTACCGCGGGCTTGGGCCAACTTCCCGTCGATCAGCGCCCAGGCACCCCAACCCCCGAGGTGCTTGGGGGATTTCCCGGCTGCATCGCAGAAAACGACCGAGTGCACCTGTGTGGGCTCCCAGAGGGCACGGGTTCCGTTAAACCGGTCGAAACAGCGCAGCCAGAATTCGAGCTCTGCAGTTGCGTCGTTAGATAAGCGGCTGTGGGTATCCCAGGTGTGGCGCGACTCAATATCCTGCCCCAGAGCCCGGGTGTAAAGGCGGGCTACTTGCCCGAACGCCCAGGACATGGACAGAAGCTGCCCTTTTATGGAGGCCAATTGTCTCGCCTTGATGCGCCGTTTTCCCAGAGCCGAGCGGATGCAGTCGAGCAGGAAAGTGCGCTTATCTTCAGGCACAATGTACACGCCCTTAGCTGTATCTAACAGCATACCCAGGTACCTCACTTGCTGCTGGGGCTCGCCCATCATTGACTTGTCACGGTTCACGCAGAACCCCAGGCGCTCAAGGAGGTCGAGGATTATGGTGCGGCGGGCGATGAGGGTCTGGGCGTCCTGGTGGGCGTGGATCTGATCATCAATGTATCCTGAGCACCGCCAGCCCTTCCGTCTCCAAGTCCGCATGATCTCGCGTGTTAGCTTGGTGAATGCCCAACAGGCGGAGGCAAGGCCGAAAGGGAGTTGTGTAAAGACGTAGAACTGGCCTTGCCATTCAAAACCAAGGTAGCGCCAGTCTGCTTCGCGTACGTCCATATGGTGGTAGCCAGACTTCAGGTCCAGGGTGAACATGTAGTCCTTGGGGCCTAGCCAGCCTGGGACCTGCGCAAGCGACTCATAACGGAACTCCGGGATGTGCAGGTGCTTATTGACTTCGCGTCCATCCCAGATGAGGCGGAGCTTGCCTTTCTGCTCTACGACGCCCAAAGGACAGGTCATGAAAGGGCGGGACTGGCAAGGTTTGATGGTCTCTGACTCCAGCAAACCCTCGATGGCAGAAGACACAAAATCCCCGTGGTCCCGTGCAGATTGGTGATTCTTGCCCCAGTACGGCCGGGGGGGAGGTCCTGAGTGCCACATCAGAGGGAACCCTTGCAGGACCCAGCTCAGCACGAGCTGGTTCACCACTGTCGCCTTCCAGACCGCGGCACAGGCTCTCAAGCGCCCCCGCATCTTAGGCCTATCCTTGCTACCCATGCTAGGAGGTGTGGCTTCACAAGGCGGATCAACAGGCAAAGGTGCTGGGTTCTCACCTTCTGGGACCGCTTGTTCATTCCTCGAAGGGGCTCCTGGATCTGGATGTGGTTCCTGGGCTTGGTGGGCGACCTTGGTCCGGGGCCGGGTGGGCTCTGCAGGGCCGGGTGCGGGACGCTTGGCGGTGTTCTTGGTCTCCACTTGTGTGTTGTCTCGTTGGGCAGGGGGGGGCTGCGCGGGGCGAGGGGCTCTAAAACCCGCGGTGACGAGCAGTGCGCCCAGTACTGTGGCGGCCAAATTCTCTGCATTGCAAGAGACAAAAGATAAAAGAGGGGGAGATGAGTAGAGGCCGGGGCTCATGGCGACTGAGGCTACGAAACGGTGGGAAGCCGCCCCTCCTGGGATGACAGAAAAAACCGAACAGGATACTCAGGGGCGACCTGCGCCGCAGGGGACGGGGCCACCAGAGCCATCAACCTGTTTGATGCCTCTCTGTCGTTGTTGGGTACATGCATGAAGAGGGAAACTCGGACGGAGGAAGGACAGGTCCAGCCTGAAGCCGGCCACCTGGGCCTGGAAGCCGCCATGGTCAACAGGACCGAGCCAACACGGCAATAAGGCCCCAAGGCCAATCACAGGCGCCACCAAGGGCAAGAGCTCGCGCGCGTTACAAAGAAACCTCCCTCCAGGGTACAACTTGGTCCGACATCTTCTAGCGGTGGAAGGTCTGGAAGAGACCGGATGTGCAACTTAGCATAACAAGTCTTGTCAAAGACTGGGCCAAAGCATACTCCGTTCCAATCCAATAATGTTTGTCGGACTTGTGGGCCCCTGCAACAACAACGACCGCGAACTGCACAGAGGGGCCACTGAGCGAGCTTAAGAAAAAAGGAGGGGGGTAGGATCGGTGCAGTGCCAGAGTCAAGCAAACACAAAGCCCAACAGAATCCTAATCAGCCACGCTTAGCCGGGCTGCGAGAGCGGCTTCGGTCACGCTGGCTGCGCCGGTCGTAGCGGTCATAGCGGCTGCGGTCGTTCCGGCGTGCACTACCAAACGAATCCCGCACTCCACCCTGCCGGTCTCTCCCTCGCCAGAGGGACCCGGCCTGACCGTCCCTGTCCGCCGCCACCGACTTGCGCGTTTTAGCTAATGCACTCTCTATGTCGCCCTTATCTATGGCCTCTGGTTTGAACTCGGGCTTGGTGAAGTTGCGCCGCCTGCCGTGCCAGATTTCGTAGGGGGCCGTGAAATTACCGTTGGCTCCTGGGCCCGCCTTGGCCAGAGCAACGGAGTAGCACTTAAGGCGGCGGTGAGCGATCTTGAGGCATTCTCCCGCGACGGCCAGCTGGGGTTCGTTCGCATCCAGCACGGTGATGGCGGTCTCTAGCAGCATTAGCGTTCCTTCGTCGAGCTGCTCCCGCTGCTCGTGTGGGGCTGTCAGCTTCGGTGCGTCATTCGCTTGAACTTCCGTCCTTATTGCTGCTAGCTGCTCTCTTGCGGATGGCATGATGGTCACGTCTTTTGTGATGACAACGTCAGGAGAGCGATCCCGAGGCGGTGCTGTCCGGGGATCCCTGGCTGGCGCTTTTGGGGCGTTGGCCTGCGCTGCTGACAGGACGCCCAGCAGCAGCTGGTGAAGAGTCGGCTGGTCTATGTTCCCGCTCAAAGTATCCCTGGCGGCTTCTATGTCGTTTTGGTTGGCTGGCAGCATCTGGCCCGATCCCCCTTCGCCGGCTGCTTCGGCCGCTCCTGCGTTGACCAGGTTATCTCCCGTTGCCTTTGTCCTCTTACCCGTCATTTTTTGATTTGTGACGGAGCTCCTGGTTGTTCCTCGGAGAGTGACAGGTCCGCGGCGATGTCGATTCGTTGTGGTAGAGCGTCGATGAGGCTTGAGGGTAGTCGGTAAGGTCTTGGAAAAAAGTGAGAGCAACAATAATAATAAGCTCCAATAGTGTAGGCAGAATGCCGGAACTATGGAGCTGTCAGCTGAAATAGTAAATTCGAATTCTCAGCAAGCCATACGGCTGCCGTACATAACCTAGCTTAGAGGCTATACTCGCTTTGCTCCTGCCGCATCTAAGCTACAATTTATGTGGACGATCTATTAATTGCGGCCAAGGATCTAGCGGTTGTTCAAAGATTAAAGTCAAAATTAAATATGTTGTTTGATATCCGAGATTTAGGGGAGGCTGGGGTATTTTGGGGCTTCGAGATAGAGTGTGATCGTGCGCAGTGTAGCCTAAAGTTGTATCAACGTCGTTTTGCTGTTGTTGTTTACCGCTTTTTGAATCTGATCCCAAACTGATACATTTTCTGTCTAGTTTTTCCTTTCTCGCTTGGCGCGGTTGGTGGACAAGTTCGCTGGAACTAACTGAATTCCAACTGTCTATTTTGCCGCCTTTCTGTCAGATCTTATGGCTCCGACCTCTGGGTCAGACGGCGAGCGGGACGCTGTCATGGATGCCTACAAGTAAACGCCGCCTCAGGCGGAAGTCCATACTTGCAGAAGTATGGGCGGGGGTCGTAGCACAAGTTACGACTGGGATGCTGGTCCCTGGCTCTCGGAGCCCCGTCATCGATTGGAAGCATGGATCAACGGTACACCATTCGGGGACTGGACCGCGCCATTTCGGAGCTGGCTGTACGATTCATGGGATGGTTGCATTCCCCGCTATTTAAGCGGACGAAACTCTTCCAGTCGGTGTCTTCCGACGCCACCATCCAGTTGTGGTTTGGTTAGATATAACAGCTGTGGACTTAGTAAAGAAGTACCGCATGGCTAACGCAAATCCGCGGCTAGTGCTGATGTCCAAAGGCAATGTCTTACATGCTGAGTGCTGAGGGGGAGCCGTTGGACATGGGGGGGTTTCGTTATGGAAAGCTGGTAGGCAGCCTGTTGTACCTTATGGTGGGCACGAGGCCTGATTTAGCTAGGGGCTCTGTCCCATTATATGTCCAAGCCAACGGTACAGCAGGTACAACCGCCAAGTGTATTTCATTTTCAGCGAAATCTGCAGAGCCACTACGTGGCTACTGCGATTCGGATTACACTAGTGTCGACAGGAGACGTTCTACCACCGGTTGGAACATCTCCTGTCGACACAGGAGCCGTCTTCAGCCAACGGTGGCTACATCAACCGCCTAAGCTGTGTATATGTGGTGCAGTGCTGCTACGAAGGAGGCCCTGTGGTTTCGTGTCTTAAGCAGGGATTTGAAGTTGGGTCTCACCAAGGTTAGCATCTTGTGTGACAACCAAGAAGCCATTAAGATGATTGGTAACCTGACTTTCTCGTGACTAAGATGATTGGTAACCCGACTGTCTTGGTGTGTGAGCGTGCTGCACAAGGCAAAGTTGCGTTCAATTACGTCAAGTATGTAGATATGGTGGCGGATTGCCTGACAAAGGGGTTGCCTTTGCCTCCATTTGAGAAGTGTGCACGTGCGATGGGACTGCGCTAAGTTGGTGTTTGTTTTTTCGTTTTACAGATGGAGGTCTGCTTGCGGGCAGTGTTGTGAATCGGATGTTATTCCGGTCAGACCTCTCTACTGTTGTCTTGAGGACTATTTGTCATACTTACGGAACTGTACTTTGGTTCCTTTAAGTGGCCGCGGGAAGCCACATTCGTTAGTTGTTTGTAACAAGAAGTGCAGACCACGCTCCGAGCTTAAGTAGCCGTATAGTTTATAACATGCCTTATGTCCGGTTTTTCTGCAGTTGAAACATTTGCCGATATTTTGGCCAGAGAAAAGGGTGATGGCGACAGGATCCGTAGTTGTACTATTTCACGTAGCCTGCTGGATAGGCAACAAAACCTTTTCAAGCGCGATTAGATCCACTGGGATAGTGTCCACCATTTAATGCTGTTGGGCGATTTCGAAAGAGCTGCTCAGACCCAGCACCGCTTCTAAGATGATGGTGTTATTGTCCTTAGCCAACGACGGGGAAGCGGCTCGTCCCGTAGTTCACTGATGATCATCTCCACGCACAATAGATAGTCCACCATTGACTTGGAGTCCGACATCTTGAGCGTGGTAAACCTTTGTTGAGAAGACAGCTGCCATGCACTGCAGCTCGCTGCATAGCTCTTGTGAATGCTCCTTGGCATAGCTCCTTGGCCGTGTTGCTGCTGTCAGAATAATCCAGCACATTCTCAGCTAGTCTCAGTGTAATTTCCGCGTGGACCTTCTGATCCTTTTCCCGTGCGGCGACAGAACCATTGCGGTAAGGGCCGCCTTTCCTTACTTGGACCACGCATCGTAGTTTGATCCATCGAACTTTGTGTTCCACATAGAGTCGATTCCCATCTTTCATGGCTCGGGGCTCATAACCTGATAAAGGCGAGGTGGATCGGACGCAGCAGCGGTTGCCAGAGTGTTACACAGCAACTAGCGGCACAGCTCAGTCACGATTCCCTACTCAACAAGCATACCAGACAATGAGATAAGCAAGCTCATTCCGTTTTCGACTCGAGTTCGATAGCCGACAAGCAAGTACGGAAGATAGCTCCGAACCACGATAGAAACCAACTACAGCGTACGCACCAGACCAGACAAATTTACCTCAAAATTTTTATTTTTATTATAAGAATGAGTATTAGCATAGATTTAATTCCCGAACACCCGTCTCCAGCCTCATTAGTAGAGAACTCTCACAGCTGGAAGCGGAGCTCGTGTAATACTGATTTCCAAAGATGGATTCCTGTGAGCAACACACGCCTGACGTCTTGCGACCTAATTGTACTCCCAAAAGTAGGGGAAGCACTCCTTATCTCGGGCAGCGAGAACCACATATCTTTATGGGATGTAGGCAATAGCCGTTTACTGTGGCCCAGGGAAAATGAATCCACGAGGCAACGGTCGTCTACTCAGTTGAGGCAGTCTACATTTACGGCATGCAGGGCGATCAGCACAGATGCATTTTGCACCAGCAATGCTGACGGATCTGTCCAGAAATGGAAGCTGGTAAGAAGCAGCTCGCGTCCCGTCTGTCCTGGTTAATTTGACTTTCCGGCTCAGTTCGACCCATTTCAACTCATTCCAACTCAATTCCATTAGAAAACGGTTCACCTTTGCTCGTGCTACGCTGTTCCTTTCCCTTCGACCTCTTAAAAGCTAACGGCCTAATTCTTTGCAAGCCAAGTAAACTTGACCCTGAGGTCGCGTTGGATGCGGTACCTCAGCCCACCCGAGCGCTCATACGAACACAGCACAAGATTCATGGTCGTCGCCACCGTCATCCTTAACCCATGTGTCATGAGTACACCGCAGGAGCATGGGGGGTCCTGTGCTTGGCAGGCATCCTGCATGGAGCAGAAGCATAATCACACTGCGGAGGTAACCAGCATGTCCGTGTATCTCGGAGGCAAACGCATCATGACTACTTCCAAGGATTTTACCGTGAAGATCTGGGACACCTCCAACATGACTGTTGTGCGGACGTTCGCAAACCATGACTGCGAGGTGATTAGGAGGTAGCTACACGGGGGGCCCTGTGAAACCAGCGGTTGGTAGTGCCAGGTACTTGCAGCAGCCCCAGAAACAGGTCCCAATTGAACAGGTCCCAGTTGCTAGGAGCGGACTGGGAGCGGGGGGCCCCCGGGGCTGGGGACCGGGTTTACCGCTGTGGACTACTTCACAATAATGCATAAATCCGAACCATTGGGGTGTGTTGGCACATGTGCAGGCACATGAGCAGGCAAATGAGCAGGCAAATGAGTAGGGTTTGTGGGGCCTGGCTTGGGGGCATATGGAAGCTTGATGCGTGAGAACCAACTCTTATGAGGAAGACCAGGATGTGGGCCAGTGCATCAGTCCTTTTACCCTTGACATTAGCAGCAGGCCATCAAGGCCACTTCGAGCATCCTCATCAAGAATCGCACTCAATTTCCAACTTACCATGTACGGCACAGGTGTACGGCTCTGCTGTAACGGAGGACGGTATGTATGCCATTACCTCCGGGGAGCAGGAGCTGGAGCGTTCTTCCGTCATCATCTGGAGTCCGGAGGAGGATGGAAAGGTGCTGCACTCACCCAACGACCACAGCGGCTGGCTGGATGTGTGCGCCATCAGTGGACCTGTGGGTCTTGCGGCAGTGACAGGCATCCACGGCGTACTGTTCGTGTGGGACATCGAGTCCGGGGTGCAGCGCTACAGCACCAAGTTCAACGTGGGGTCACATAGCTGCTGCCGCTTCAGCCCCTGCGGCCTGTTCATTCTGGTGGGAAAGGGTGTGGACAGGGGGCAAGGCGGTTGGCCGGTGGGCTGGGAGTTAAGGACTGGGGATGGAAGGTGGGGAGGTGGTGGTGCTGGCTGTCTAACTAGCTGGCTGTGGACCTGGGAGGAGTCCAGGACAACCAGGACTGCACTGGAATAGAAGGACCTATGAGCCAACTGAGCGGGTCGGGCAGGGCTGCACTCTTCTGGAACAGAAGGACCTAAGAGCCAACTGAGCGGGTTGGGCAGGGCTGCACTCTTCTCCGCCACCATCACCGCATCCCAACCCTGCTGCCACTGTCAGCAACTGTCGGGGACCGTGAGCTCTTATTGTGTAATTCAGCTGCGGACGTCCTAGGGTCTCTGGGGTGCAGGCGGGGTGGGCTTAAGAGGCCTCTGTGATGAGGCTCCGCTGACTCCCAGAGGGAGCAATGAAGGGGATGTGTGGAGTGTTCGGTTTATGTTTGGGCGGCGAGCTGGTGTGGATAAATGAGATGATGATGATGATGATGATGATGATGATGATGATGATTAGAGAAGTATTTGGAATCTGCCTTTACCTGCACTCGTACCTATTAAACCCCTGGCACGTGCACTGTGATTGGGAATGTATGGCTGCAGGTTGGCGGGTACAATGAGCTGGTGCTCATGGAGTCAAGATACGGCCAAGAGCTCCTTCGTGTGCACTGCAGCCAGGTGGGCGCCGGGGTGGGGTGGGGGATTCCTCTGAAGACAAACCCGGGTTGTCAATGGGGGCCGTCACTCACCCCTCCCACCTCATTGCCGACCTGCCTTCTTGAGTTCGAGTTTCCATTCTCATGTCTCCGTGTGGCACCAGCTCTCGAAACACAGCCGAAACACGGCCGTGTGCTGACGCTGAGCCGCGCCTGTGGGTGCCCTGTTAAGAGTCAGCAAAGCGCCATGCATGGGGTCCATATGGACCCCTCGGGTCCTATTACTGCTGTTACCATTCACTGGTGTATTTAATGGGACCTAAAATGGGACCTAACTAACCGGGACTAACCAATGCACCTCGTGGCCCTGCTTGGGGCCGCCCTGCAGGAACCGGGTACCTTCAACACCGCGATTGGCTGCTTCTTCCTCACTGACACCAACCCCGGTCTCCACACGGGCTTCAAGAATCGGTACTATGACAGTCCCTACGAACAAGGCGGGTTAAGAATGTTCTTAAGTCGTTCTTAGCCCAGCCAAATTGATAAAACTGGATGACCATTAGAACATTCTTTGACCATTCTAAGAACATTCTGAAGTATGTTTGTATGACCTCCGTTTGTCTTAAAACCACTCTTTAAAATTCTTTAGCATTCTTTAGGGCCCAGCAGTCTTCTGTATTCTCTTTGATTCTTTGGGGTGTTCCTATACATTCTTAGGGTACCTTATTGATTCTTGGACTTAGCTGCTCTTTGGCCTTTTTAACCATTCTTAACACTGTTTTGCTGAGTATGGCACGCCTTCTTAAATCTTATACTTAGGGAAGTCTTTTTGGCTGACATTTTTAGGGTTTAAAATATATGATCCTTAAGGGGTGTTTCAAAAAAACTAAGGACCTTTATGTGTCATCAACCTATCATAAGGCTGTGAGCGCCCCCTTACATTTCCGAGATAACCAACAGCAACCTTGTTGTATTACAATTATTACATCATATTGTTAGGGTTGAACCTACGACTTCAGAAATGGTAAGTTATGCACTATCTCGGATCCTGTTGTACTGTTGTACAAGACAAGTCGCATGACGCTTCACTTTTCTGTGAGGCGCCTATTATTCCACATAGCTGCACCATGTGCTGTTCCCTAACACATGTGCATGTACGGCAGGCAACCCAACAACTGTTCAGCAACTCAGCTATCATCCCTGGCCCCTGTACGACGAACACGGGGGCGGGTTAAGAACATTCCTAAGTCGTTCTTAGCCCAGCCAAATTGATAAAATCGGATATCTATTAAAATGTTCTTCGACCTTTCTAAGAATATTCATATGACCTCTGTTTATCTTGAAACCATTTCTTAAAATTCTTTAAAATTCTTTAGGGCCCAGCAGTCTTATGCATTCTCTTTGATTCTTTGGGGTGTTCTTATATGTTCTTGGGGTAACCTATTGATTTTTAGACTAAAGCATACTTAGCTGCTCTTTGGCCTGTTTTAACCATTCTTAACACTGGTTTGCTAAGTATGGCACGCATCCTTAAGTCCTATTCTTAGGGAATTCTTTTTGGCTTACATTCATAGACTAAAAAATATGGAATTCTTAAGGGGTGTTCGAAAAAACCACTGACCTTTCAGTTTCTGAGCTGGTTTAACGCCTATCCGTAAGTTGTTGTTGCCTCGTTACATTCCCAGATTGTCTAATGCTACTGTACGGGACAAGGTGATAAGCTAAGGAATACAAGCGGTACTTGGTTTACACAAGGATCTATCCTACGACTACAAGTACATTAAACTGGGGAGACCTCCAAATTAGTCGGGAAGGCGAGATTATGGCTAGCTGCTGAGATGTGGAGTTGAGGTCACAGTTGATGGACCAGATTTGCACGCTGGATTGGTGGCGATTGCCAAACCCTCCATCTCTTCGGATGTTCGGGTGAATGGATGAGGAGGGATCCCTGAAGGCTGGATCCACCGCCTTACAGTTCGTATGGCGTAGTACAGTGTGGTAGTGGTGGATGGTGCTATAATCGTAGAATTGATAATGTGATAAAGCGGCCCAGAAGTCTCCCGCTCTGTAACATTACACATTACACACTAAACTATAAACTATGTCTAATCCTATATAGGATATAGGAATATATTGTACAAGAGAACACATCACAAGATGATTACAAATGCTACAAGGTGCATATTATTCCAACAGCTGCACCAAATGCCGCACCCTAACATATATGTGTGTACGGCAGACAACCCAACACTGTTTAGCAACTCAGCTATCAGCCCTGGCCCCTGTACAAACCCCTGGCTTGCAGCATGACATGGCCTCATACCTGCTGCAGCCCACTGCCCGATGCTATCCCTGCTGCTACAGCTGCATGAAAAACATGAAGAGCCCCAAGGCCACTGCCATGCTAAGCTGAATCCAAACGTATATGCTTATGTAAGCATCCTTGCTTGCCAAGGAGAGCCTGGCAGACGCATGTGTTTTCTACAAGCCCCCACCAGAAGAGTTTGGGGCTACTGGAACCCTCACCTTCCAGCAATGCATGTACTGGACTGTTACCAACACCTCTTGAGCCTGCCATCTCCACAGAGCACATGTGCAACGGGCAGGGTTACAAGGAAAAGAACCAGGGCCTGACATTGATGATTCCCAGCTCCTACAGCTGCATGATATGTACATCCGCCACAGCACGGAATTTTCATGGGTCTTCACAGTTTGCATGGGCTGGCTCTGGGACAACTGGTCGGACAACAGCATGGCCACTATCTTCATGTCAAGCATTCTCACCCAGCTGTGGCTACAACACCACAGGCGTGGTGACATGCTGGAACAGGACGGTGCCACTGTCAGAATAAAAAAAGCTGGCAGGTTTAATAGTTGGGATGGCTGATTATTACATACATACATCCTGGTTACGTTTTTGCTGCGTTAGAATTACAGATTTCACTGCCTATAAGGCATCATTATTACTAGAGTTAAAAACATGCACACGACTGTTGCTTACATGTACATCGGGCCCTGTCTTGCATGTGTGGAGGAATGCAGTAAGGGTCAAATGTTTGCATCCTCGTGTATGTACCTCTTGGTCATTGTCAGAATGCATGTTTAAGCATCATAGATGGACCCCACTGTCAGCATCTCCCCACCATGACCCATCCCCACTGTCCACACGTTTTTCAGTGACCACTTGGCTGATGACTGAATCTTCCAGCGGTCGCAACTCACACTACTGTTGCATCTCCCTGCCATGACCCACTCATGCTGTCTGCATCTTCATGACCAACCCCCATTCCCCATTGAACCCTAGGGTTATTGCATCCCTCCTGCATGTGCATAGGCCTACTGCATCCCTCCTGGATGTGCAGGCATTCATGCATTACTGCCTTCGGGAGCTCTGGTGTGGTGACTCTTGGATTACACCTGGGCTCGTTATGGATGGCCGACCTGTCACTGATAAAGTTCAGCTTGCAACATCCTTCAAAGGAATTCACTGAGGGCCTGGAATCTGTAACCCTCAACAGCTATCTGCAGCTTTGACCCTTCAATGAAGGCAACAAAATTGTTCTTCATGAGTGTTGGTTCATCACCAGGCATGCAACATTGGTCAGCAGGCAAGGCCAGGCAATTATTGATGAAGGGATGAATGTTAGTTACTGCTAAGACTGCCACCCTGTGTTTATGTGGTTCCACCAAAACCCTAAATCCCTAAGCTTACTACATGGCCCAGGACATAGCTCTCTGCAGGCCTAGGGTGCACACCCTGCCCCACCCAACACCAACAAGGCAGCTCTGTGTTTGCTATCAAAAAGCTTTCCCTTCATGCTTGTGGCAACCTGCGAGCCATTACACACACTCACCAGGCACGCTGCAAACATGTGCTGACAGGAGGATACCCTCTGGTGGCAGAGTTGTACAGGAGGGTACACTCCAATGCCACCCCTTTGGCACCGAAAGTTCTCCCCAAAGGGGAAGAAGCTCGTCCCGTACGGTGTCCCTTCAGTGTCCCTTCCATACTTACTGGTGTCCCTTCAGTGTCCCTTCTGTGTCTCTTCGGTGCCCCTTCCATGTCCCTTCGGTATGTAGGGGTGTACACCGGTGTCTCTTCAGTGTCCCTTGGGCGTCCCTTAAGTGCCCGAGACCGAATTTACCAAAAGCTTCGTTGACACTAGCACCTGGCTAATCATTAAGCACCAAGCACCCCCTTGGTGGCAGAATGCTCAGTCAGGATGCAGTGGAGGGTCGAGCACAGGATGTGGATGGGAAGGAGTAGGATAGAAATGTGGACCCAGGAAGAGGTAACACCAACCCACCAAGGATGAGGATGGCAGAGGATGAGGGGATGCAGTCACCACGGTGTGGTATGATTTTACATAAAAAATCATCCTCTGGCCAATGCTTGCAAACATACCACATCCTGGTCTGGTGGCGCCTTTGTGTATATGAAGGTTCCGGGTTCGATTCCTGGTCAGACCCCCGACATTATTTGGGAGGTCTAGGTTTACGAACGCTACTGAGGGGTGGAGATGAGGTCTAGTTGATGGACTAAGTTACGCATGCTGAGATGGTGGTGGTGGCTGATCTGTCTCTATGGATGTTGGGTGACTGGATGAGGAGGGGTCTAATTGGCAGGACCCAAACCGCCGTCGGTCGTAGGTGTAATCAACTTTCAATATATATAGTCCATGGCCTCCCGGCTTTGACGGACCCCCCCGCACTCGTGCGGCACTTGTAACTTTAAAAGGGGGGTTGTAGGATGTATCCAACTGACAGGATGCATGATCATGCATCCTGCCAAGACTCCCCCAGGATGCAAGAATGGGCCGCCAAACTGACACCCTCCACACTGATGCACATGCAGGGCGGCCCACTAAAGATGCATAGTGATCAATAGGGGATTTAATTATTGGCTACATCTACTCGCGCATCCACCTAACAGGTCTCATTATTAAACCCAAACAAATATTGATGGTCATCATGAAGTTCATGATATGTTAACTGCTTCAAAACCACTGTGGTAATCATCTATCCCGCACTATCAGAGCTCCATGAGGCATTCATTGTAGAGTGTTTTTATGGCGAATGTATTCTTAAGACATACTTATATGACATACTTACATAAAACCGCTTCATCCCAGTGTAAGAACATTATAGGACGTACACCTGCCGCCTCCATGTTCTTTGGACGTTCTTATCATTCTTAAACATTCTAAAAAGTTACATAACCGGTCTCCCCCGCAGAGCCGTGCAATAGCCGCGTGGATGGGCTGTTCAGCTTTCCGACGCGGTTCGGGGCGGTGTTTGTGGATGGAAGCATCCGTGTGTTCAACATGAATGGGGACAGCTTTGATGACGCATTGTGGCGGGATGAGCGGATGCAAGACGTGTACGACGCTGACGTGTCGCGCGACGGGACGCTGTTGTTCGTCATTTATAAGGCGGGCCGCTTCCAGGGTGAGGCTCGATGGTGAAACGATTGCAGCGGTAGCAAAGCTGTGGAGGGTGGTGCTCGCCTGCGTGTCTGCCTGCGTGCCTGCTTGCCGAACGTTTACCACCCAAAACGTAAAGCTGCCAAGGAAATGATGCATATCTAATTCACAGATGCAACAAATTACTACACTGAAGTGCTGCGGTGGTTGCATTTTTGGGTTCCTCCCCTCCCCTCCTGTAACGACGCAAATGCCAATCTGAGTATCCCGGGTTACGCCTTTGCTGTGTTACAATGGTATCGAGACGGGACCGCACGAATTCCGAAATAAACTTCGGGTCGGCGGTTCGATTCTGGCAACCAGCTAGTCGCAAATTGGCGATTTCATGGTGTAATGGATAAACCAGCGCACTGGCGCGAGGTGGGATGGCTCCTGTGCTCGAAATAATGGCCGAGGACGTCCATTGCTAAGTGGGGGGCAATGTAACGACGCAAATGCCAATCTGAGCATCCCGGGTTACGCCTTTGCTGTGTTACACCTCCCCTCTCATACTGCAAGTGAAGCCTTCTCCTCCTCCACCCTGGCTGCCATTCGTTCTGGAAGCTTCCCTTTCCTACTCTGCTAACCACCGCATCCACGCCCCCCGCGATCGCGAAAAGGACACCTAACGCATACACACCCCTGTTGTACACGTGTCCGATGTACAGAAGAGCTGCACCTGTACGACTTCGTGACGGGGGAGCTCGTCTGGAACCACTGTACTGCACACAAGGGCACATACGGCCTGTATCTCGTGGCTAGTGGTGATGCGGGGTTGGTACCGGATGGTGGCGGTGTGGGGGAGAGCCGTCCGCTGCGCGGGAAGATGGTCACCGCGGGCGGGGACCGGAAGGTCCGGCTGTTCGACTTGGCCCAGCGCCAGCTCATACGGGTGAGCGCAGTAAAGAGCAGTACATGAGGTTAAACAACGGGTACACACAGACTGTATATATACAGTTTGTGTACATATATACACATACACGTATATCTGCGTGATTTATTGATCTCCACAACGAGGGAAATGTCGAGGGGTGGTGGTACACGGTGGTACAACTTCATCACACCAGGAAGCGAATAAATAGTCACCAGCGACATGTGGTAGAAATGTGCACGTATGTTTGTTTTGTTTCTTTCTCTCTCTTTCTTTTTTCTCTCTCATCCCAGTGCTCACCTTCCTGCGCCACTTCCCTTGAATCATCTCCCCACTGACCTCCCTCCCTCCCTTCCCCCCTCTCCACAACCCCCTTTGCTGCCCCAGATGATCGACACGGACGATCGGCACTCCAAGGACATCGTGTGCCCCCAGGTCAACGAGAGATTCGACCAGATGCTCACCACGGCTGACGGCTGGGACAAGTGGACGTGTCTGTGGGACCTCAACACGGGCAAGATGCTACGGAAGTACGATGAGATCCACAAGGAGGGAATCTTCGATGCCTGGTTCACCCCTGACGGGCTGCGGTGTGTGTCGGTGTCTTGTGACAAGACAGCCGCCATCTTTGAGCTGCAGTCGGGTGAGCTGGGGAGGGGACTGGGAAAGAGAATGTGTGCATGGATGGTTGGATGGATGGTTGGTTGGATGGATGGACTGACTTCACTGACTTCATTACCCTTCGAAGATGTGTAGCAAGTGCGCATACTAGCAAAGTGTTTTGCGACCCACCTGCTCTGCTTGTGCTGCACAGTGGTCATGCACAGCGGCAGCTGTGCATGACCACTTTTGGCCATCTGGGTCATTTATTGCGCCGCATCCCCGTTTTTACAATGCACGCACACAGGCGAGGTCATCCAGCGCTTCGTTGGGCACAAGCACTGGGTGTGTTTCGCAGCCCTCTCACCCGATGAGAAGATCCTCGCCACCGCCTCAAACGACAACACCGTGCGCATCTGGAACGTGGCAAAAGGCAACGTGCTGCACATCATTCGCGACCACCGAGGCACAATTTCGTACATCAATTTCGTACATCCGACATGGATCGTGACAAGCGCCAGGGATGGCACAATTGTGGGTTTCAATCTTGAGGTGAGCACGGTCTCAGGAGCACTGGGTGCGTGTGTATGTATATCTATACATTTGTGTATATGGTGAACAGGCAACCCCACAGCGGCCTACACCAAGGCGCACACCTGCTGTGTTTCGCTCCGTTTTCCGTAATAGAATGACGGCTCAGGGGGAATGTATTGGCATTGTCTTCATCCTTGACGCCACGAGTGAGGACTTCTACTGCCGAAGGGAGGATTCGAAAGGGGGAGGGCAAGAAAGGGGGAGGCTGGGTAGGAAAAGGGGTGTGGGGGAGTAATGAGAAGCTGCAGGATGGGAGCGGCATCATGGCACATAACTGGATTATAACTCTTTAGGAAGCCAAGCGCCCGTTACTACGGGAAAGGGGAGGAAAGGTGCCAAAGGGCCAATGGCACTACAGCATGTCCAATGCCCTCCTTGACAGGGGATCCCTGACCTGATGTGACGTGGCGTGACCTGACCCGGGATGGGGACCCACTCCCCCACACGCCACCCTACTTGTGTGTCTTCGTCTTCTTCTTCATCGTCATCGCCGTTGTCGCAGTCCGGGACATCCGTGCCTCTGCTGGTAGCAGGCCCCATCGGCAAGCAGGACGGCGCCAAGAAGATCAGGCCCATGCCGCTGTGTACCGGGGTTGCAGGACCCAGGTTTCCACCGGTGCTGGCGGTGTCACTCAACGCACATGTTGCCGTACTGAACCTCTCTGTACGGCAACCTTTGCCGGAGCAGGTGTGCCTGTATGTGAGAGGGTCTGTGTTTTGGGGCCAGGGTGGTGGTGGTATAAGCAGGGTGATGGCCTGCACTTTGATGGAGAGGCCTCCTTGCTCCCAAGATTGTTCCTAAATAAACATTTTCAGTGTGCACCAAAAGGGTGTGACTTTATAGGTTGGGTCGTATATTAGGAGTGGATGGGATTTGGATTTGTACTACTCATCGCCTCCCTCCCCTCTCTTCTCCTCCCATTTTCTTATCCTTTCTCCTCCTCCTCGTGCTCCCATCCCCAGCTCCTGGAGGAGATGAAATCAGGTCTGTGGGACCTGCAGCACGTGATTAAGCTGGCCGATACCTTCCCGGGTCTGGCGGTGGTACCCATGGTGACCGGAAACACGCTGCTGCACGAGTACGTGTGTGAGGGCGGGCCGGGACCCTGGGCGGGCGAGGAAGTGCGCGGCTAGTCAACCTGGGAAACCCGGGATAGGGGGACAGGGTAGGGGGACGGGATGGGAATCAGCTGGCAGAGAACAGGCAGTGATTTTTTTTCATTTAGGGCGGGTCTCAATTTATTCCAACCTAAGTAACAAAGTTGCTAGGGTCGCCGTAATTTATTCCGTAAGTGGGGGCCGGTGGGGGGCCCCCCCCCAGACCCCCCCCGATAAGTTACAACTCCCCTCATAGACCAAGAGGCACGCACTGAGTTTTCGTTCATGTGCTCTGGCCCTTGCGGATGCGCTGTGTCTGAGCCCGCTTGGCACTGCGAGCGGTCGGGTTGGGCGCCTGAAATGCATCGCCGGCCTCGCCGCACTCACTGTCGTTGTTGTCGAGCTGATTGGGTGACAGCTTGCGCTTAAGCTGATTACACCCGCCATGGAAGGCAGGGGTAATGGCGCCCGTGTCATCGGTCGCCGCTGGCAGCAACACCATTGCGGATGCATTAGCGACAACAGCACCGCCGTCCCAAACGCCTTTATCAGGAAAATTTTCAGGCTTATCTTGCTGTTTTGGTGTTTGTTCGATGTTCGAGTCGTTGCCTTTTGCGTGTTTGGCTATGTGAGGACCGGTCATACATTCTGCTATGCCGCGTTGACTCACGGGCTTGACCTACTTACGGCCCGTCATATCTATTATATGATTGATAATACTAAGTTCTGCACACTACGGAGCAATCTGGCAGCAATCGACGTTTTTGGCTGGAGGAATGAAAATGTACGGATCGACCTCAATTCATTCCGTTTTTCCAAAGGCCAATTCCTTTTAAGGAATATATTACTTAAAAACTAGGGGGGCGGCATTTTAAAGCCGAAAAGGGGCTCGGCCCCGGTGCAGCCACTTGACTCCGTTTAATTCGCAGGGCAGTCCGTACGGCATAGGAAGCAAGCACAAGAACGCCGCCATGTTTGGAGTAAACACTTGTTATTGTAATTCTCAAACAGTAAAGGTCGGCAGACTTGCTATGGCGGCGTAGACCAGCATAGACCTGTCTGGATCGTCGCAAGCATAATCATTATTGAGGGAGAACAGTTAGCCTTCTCGTGATGCGGCAATCCGTAGAATGACATACACACAAAGCGCCTTGAACTGTCAGCCAGCAGACCGAAGGGCCGTCTGGCTGGCAGTTCAAGGCGCGCAAAAGTGCCCGTGCTTCATGGACCAATTGTTGTCCGCTCCCAGCCAGAACGCATTCGGGGATCGTTCCAATTGCACACTTTGAAGTCTGAATGCAGCGGCAAAGCTGATGGTGTGTTGTAAAGGCACACTTCGTTTGAACTTGGATTGAATGAATGAAGAAGAGAATAAGAAGGACAACAATCAAACAGGCACGACATGCTAGGAGGGAGGTGCTTAGAGCGTTGCCATGGGTCAACAACAGCCCCGCCCTCCTCCGCGCCCTCTGCTGGGGGCCCGGCCGCGGCCGCGGCGGATCGGCTGGTCAGGGGCCGCCGCCGCCGGCGGGGACGCGGGCGGCAAGGCGGCCGGCGGATGGGCAACGGCCCGACCTGGGCGGCCCCGCCCTCCTCCGCCAAACTCGGAGCCATGGAAAGCTATCTTTGTCGCGCTCCGATTTATCTGGAATTTCTCCTTTGGCAGGTGGATGTAGCATAGATATAGCTTCTACATTCAATCTTTTGCGGAGCGAGATATGTAACTTTATGTCAAACTCGGAGCCATGGAAAGCTATCTTCGCGCTCCGATTTATCTGGAATGTCTCTTTGGCACTTCAATATAGAATGGATATAGCAATCCAACGCTATTTTCTGCGGGGCGAGATATGTAAGCCACTGACTGACTGACTGACTGACAGCAGTGAACCCGGGGGGCTCGGCCCCCCGAATGGCGCTTCGCGCCCGGGCCTCGCCCAAAAAACACTGAGAACAGGTGGTTGGGTAGAGGACGGCATGAGTGTGTGTTGCAGACAGATCTGGGTCTTGAGGAGATGGACAAATGATGGAGGATGGCGTCAATGGCCTGTCAACGAAGGGCCCCCGTGCTGGGCCGTTGCGTCAGCAGACCCAAAATGCTAATAACACTATTCACACACTATATACATACATACATACCTCTGCAGGGCGGCACGGGAGGGGCAGGTGGAGTTCCTCCGTGTGCTGCTGAGCCACGGTGCGGCCATTACCTCCGCACCGCTACCCGCCAACGCCGCGGGTAAGACCCCCCTGGACCTGGCTCTGGATTTCCGCAACCTCCAGTGTGTGGAGCTGCTGCTGGCCAACGAGGTGTCCAGACCGCCACCGCTGAGGCTAGCTGTGATGAAGGTATAAGAGGGGGGGAAGGGAAGGGAGAGGAGTCTGGCGGGAAAATAATCATGAAAATATTTACGGGGAAAGGGGGGAGGGAGGGGAGGAGATGGCACAGGGGAGGCAAGGGGAGCAAGCTGTGTGTCCCTTGCACTGAAGGGAAGCACTGGGCGTGAAACGAAAAGGTGTGCCTGCGCCGCTGTGCTACCTACATGCCGGTAAAGTCTGCTGTACAACTCTTCCTGCCTCACTAGTCTGTGTTGGCTCGTCGACCCTGTCAGCCCCCGTCGACCCGGTCAGCCCCGGAAGACTCCCTGCACCCCTGAGTGAATGAGGGAACTGCTGTGGCGTGCTATCATGACTATCATGGGACCCATGCAACTCGTCGTTACGCGTAGCTATGACCCACGGGTCACCCCTTGAAGGACGCACGGGTCGTTAGCTTGACGAGGACCCACGGATTTGCTCACAGTGGCCCATGGGTCGTTCATGCATACACAGGCCTGGTCTCGTCTGGCTGCGGACATGCCGTCCGTGCTGGTCAAGTTCCTGCAGGCGTTGGGGTTTGAGGAGCTGACGGACGCGGTGGGCAGCAGCACAGTCATGGTGTCGGTGCAGGAGGGCACCCACCTCATCACGTGCGGGTCGCAGGTGCGTGTGCTGGGGTGAGGTGGTGGGAAGGGAAGCGGTGTTAATGGTAGCGGCGTGAAGAGGTGCGAGAGGCCGTGGTAGTGGTGGTGGAGTGAAGGTGGTGAGCAAACCCTAAACCCTAAGCAACAGAACTCGGTTGTGTGGTGGAGACGGGGGGGCGCCATCGGAGGGAGGTATGGGTGCGACATGTAAGGATGCACATCTAAAACCTCTTAGGGCACTCGAACCATCATCTTGTGTTTGAGACGGTGCAGCATGGTGGAAGTGGCAGCGTTGAGTGGAAGTGGGGGACATGGCATGGTACGACAAGTAATACGACACATGATACGATAATACGACACGCCCACGTGTTCCATTCTTATTCTGCTCAGGACTACGCGGTGAATCAGGAGCTGTGGGCGGATATGAGGTGGGAGGATCCGTGGTGGGGGAAACTGTGGAAGAGCCGCAGCCTGCTGCATTTACTGTTGCAGTATTACCTGATGTCAACGGCCAAGCATCTCATACGGTGGGTGGCAGTGTGTTTGACGGAGCTGGTTGGGGGGGAAGGTCTTGTCGGAGCAGGTGCACTGTTGTTGTATTAGGGAGGGGGATGGAGTGGTGGAACTCCCGGCACACAGCAGTGCTGGTACCTCGCCGTGTCCCCTGACAGACGTCCATGGCCCCCCCCTGGCTTGTACGGAGACACCCGCACTTGCGTGCGGAACTTGTAACTTGTAACTAGACTTTCCCCATGCTCCTCTCGTCTTTCCTCACCTCGTCCACAACACCGTTCTATCCACATCTGAACCCGCTCGCTGCTGCCTTCCCGCTGCCCCGCTCCTCCTGCCACATGACGTGAACGTGGTACGGCATGGTACGGCACGCACATCATGACCTGGCCTATGCTATCTGGGAATCGATTGCAATCGAATCACGTGACATGATAACGACATCACGTGTGATGTTGTACGATGTGCGATGTGGTGCCTGTGTGTGGCTGTGTGCGGCTGTGCGGGCGTGCATGTATATGTATGGCCGTCACTGCCACCGTCACCGCCACCATCAACGTCACTGCCGCCGCCATGCAGCCGCAAGCCCCCATCGGAGATGAGGCTTCCTGTTTACATGTGTGGACTGCCGTATGTGGCGCTTACGACTCGCTCCGTGAAGAAGTCGCCGCTGGGTGTGCTGATGCTCAACAACGTCAATGACGCCTTCACCACCGATATTGTGTTTGCAATGCTCACTTACAAGTGGGACACTTACGCAGGTGTGAGGTGGTGGCTGGGTGCGGGTGGTGGGGGTGGGGGTCGGGGCTGGTCGGAGAATGGAACTCAATGAGGGGGCGGGTGAGGAAACCAATGATATACTCGGTCTGGTATTGATCTCGACACGAGTGCTGTGATAGCGTCCTTAGTGAGTCCTAGGTGAGGTGAGGTGAGGTGGGCACGCGATGCAGGACACCGAGCATGGGACAAGGCGGACAGAGCAGCAGTCCTCCTCTGCAGGCGGAATGAGGGGGCAGCGGTGAATTCCCGGCGAATCCCGCTGACTGCTTCTATGTATATATGTATGTATATATGTATGTATGTATGTACGACGTTGATTACACTGTGGGCTGAAAAGCCGGGGGCCCAGGGCCGAAACACAGCGCGGGGGGCGGATGCACACAGCCAGTTAGTCTCGTGCACTCTGCCCCCGGGTCAGGCAGCACTGGAAACAACGGCCGGTACACACCAGCGCTCCCCTCCGGGGGGTGGCACTCCAGATATACGGGTACTATGCCCGTTGGTCTTCTAACACAAACGAAGTCGCAACCCTGGGGCCCTTCCTACGGACAGAAAGCACCGAACACCTCAGAAAATTTGCACCCAGGATCTGGGCGACTGGGAGCCCGACGAGTCATCCCGGGCTGGGGAGGTCACCAAGCTCCAAAATCCTCACACAGAAAGAGCGCACAGAGCTCACACCACAAGACGCCAATCAGCCTCCTGAGACTACTACCCAACCCCGCCTCTCCCTCCCTGGGCTAGTCCAGGGGAGATAGCACCCGTCGGGGGGATAACACCACACAAGCCCACACCCTATGTATGTATGTTGTTACAGGGTGGTTAACTTCGCCAGCGGCCCCCTTTCCCGGGGCAGTCCCTGCACTCCCCTGCTGCTAGAGGGGCACCCTAATCCGTCACCCCATCCGACTTCAGAATGTATTTGTTGGGTTCGGCAACTCACCACCAGCATCCAACCAAGTCTAGCGGATCAATGGCGCATCAACTTAGTTCCTGGTCAGCTCGCAAGTTGATATTATCACGTCCTACACCGTCCATATGATGGGGGGCCACCTCCCATTTCAACACTCCTCAAACACCCGAGGAGCCGGCAGGCGGATCAATCTAGTGGATCAACGGCGCCTCAACTTAGCTCCTGGTCAGCTCGCAAGTTGATATTACCATGTCCTATACCGTCTATAAGATGGGGGGCCATCTCCCATTTCAATACCTCACACACCCGAGAGGTCGGCAGGCGAATTTGAACCCGGACACGCCGGGAGCAGAAGTCAGGCCTTAACCTCTGCCAGCCGCGTGCCTATGTATGTATGACTTGGATTACACTGTGGGCCGCGAGAGCCGGGGGCCGGAGCCGAAACACAGCGCAAGGGTCGGGAGCACACAGCACAAGTCGGTTAGTCTTGTGTGCTCCCGACCCCGACTCAGACTGCCAACACACTCCACAGCCACTCCGCAGCCCCTCCATCCTGGGATGGCGCTGCAGTGAAAACACCACGAAGGGCTCACAGGTCCCGTTAGAGCGAGTCCACAGGTCTCCGCTAGGGCAAAGGCAAAGGCTCTCTGAAACAACCCCCCAAAACACAACCAACGACAAAGGGATCCCAAGGAAAAAAACAAAAAAGGATGAGACGGTTAGGGCAGCCCAGGCAGGGGAGGGCTCCTGTATGTATGTATGTATGTATGGCTACTGATGTAGCATTCACTACGTTTGGAGGCGCTGCACCAGGCTGGTGCTCCGCATGCATGCTGGTCATTTACGGGTGCGCGGCTGAATGGGAACAGCACAGCTGCGGCCGTGGCCGTGGCCGTCATGGCGCGGGTGAAGCTACCGGGAAGAAGTGGGGTGGGGGGTTAGGACTGGGAACATGGGGATGGCCGCCGCGTCTTCAAAGCCGCCAAAACCCAACTTCTTCCTATTCCTGTTATGGTGCCGTTGTCTCTCAACTCTCGCTTTGTCACCTTCCGTACAACATTCCGTACAATCACGCAGGCCGCATCTACCGGCGGCAAGCTCTGTTGTACGGCAGCTTTATGGTGCTGTACATCACCGCCACCACGCTGGGTGTGGAGTGGAGCAAAGGGGTTAGCAGAGAGGAGATGTACGGGTACGGTACGACTCGTACACGTGTGGCGGTACGGATTCTTCTGGAGGGTTGCGTCTTGCTGCTTAATGCGTGGTACCTGTGGGAGGAGATTGTCCAGATCTCCAGACACGGCCCGGTGCAGTACTTCACAGGTGTGTCTGTACATTCCCCGTGTTTGTCTGCATGTATGTACGTCTCCCTGTACTTGCACAAAAGGTTTGCATGTATGCATGTTTGTCAGTGTTCTCTTCGTCGACCCTAAGGCCCAGACATCTGGATGTCCACGCTCACCCACCTGTTATCCGGGATCAATCGCCTTTGTGGCTTGCTCCGCATGTGTGCGCCACGTGTGTTTCAATAAACTGAGCGGCGGGAAGGAAGTGGGGAGCAGGAAGTGGCAGCCGGAGATGGCAACTTTACCGAAGCTGTGGGGGGGGGCAGTCTGTCTTTGTCCATGCCTTTCATGAGCCTACTCTACCCTACCCATTCGAGAGCCCACACCCAAGCCTAGGCTCTCCAAGGGCAACAGCTGCACCCCCGGCGGGGTGGGGATAGAGGGCCTGGCACTGTGTTTTGTTGTTTTCCTGACACTTCGGCACTTCATCGTCGCAGGTCATAACTCTGCTTGGAACTGGGTGGAGCTGCTGTCGTGCTTGATGGTCAAGTTGGTGGTGGTGCTGCAGGTGTGGGTGGGCGGGGGAGGAAAAGCAACTGATACCCAGACTAATAAGCAACTGATATGCAGCAAAGGGGAAGGAGGCTGATGGGTGGGAAGAGGAGGGTTCAGCGGGCCGAACCGCATTCCGCTGCCGTGCACATCATCCCCGTGTGCGGGGAACCTCCAGCCAAGTGTCCAAAGTACTGCTACTAGCATTGGTCTATTTGAACTTCATTCAATCAATCTTGTCGGGAAGCGGGTGAAGCCGTTGCTGCTGTGCTCGCTAGTACTGCTAGTGCTTCTGGTGCTAGTGCTGCTAATTCAAGTGCTGCTAATGCAACTGCTGCTAATGCAACTGCTGCTACTGCTCCCTTTCCCCCCACCTCCTCCTCCTCCTCCACGTTCCCTGGCTTCTTGGAGGTCGGCAGTAGGGCCCCCCCGCTGTGTCCCTTGCGTGGTTCTGCTCCTCCTGCAAATCTTTCCCCACTTCCCCCCCGGTGGCGACATTCGCCCATCAGGTTATCGGGCTGGAAGAGGCTCGGTGGGTGATGTCCGCCTGCACCATCCTTCTCGGCACCCGACTGCTCAAAGTGGCATCAGGTCAGTGGGGGGGGGAGGGATGGCGGTATCTTGCGTGTGTATGTCTGTTACATCACGACTTCAGAAAAGCACCGATCGGCGGATGCAGATCCCGCGATGTGCCCTCCAGGATCTCCAGAACCTTATCAGATATGTCCTATGTAACCTTCACAGCTTGCTGCTGTACAGTTGCATTCGAGGTGCCAATAGGATAGAGCAAAGGCGGAAACGGGCCTGCAAAGCTAAGACTTCTACAACTGCAACTTGGATGCGGTATGTACGTATATGTACGTATGTAGTATGTATTTATGTATGTGTGACTTAGATTACACTGTAGGCCGCGAGAGCCGAGGGCCGAAGCCGAAACACAGCACAAGGGTCGGGAGCACACAGCACAAGTCGGTTAGTCTTGTGTACTCCCGACCCCGACTCAGACTGCCAACACTCTACGCAGCCACTCCTCAGCCCCTCCATCCGGCGATGGCGCTGCAGTGACAACACCACGAAGGGCTCTCAGGTCCCGCTAGAGCGAGTCCACAAGTTTCAGCTAGGGCAAAGTCAAAGGCTTTCTGAAACAACCCCCCAAAACACCACCAACGAAAACGGGATACTAAGGGAAAAAACAAACAAACAAAAATTCGGTTAGGGCAGTCCCGGCAGGGGATGGCTCCTGATATACCTAACAGGCCAACAAAAAACCTCCCAGAGAGAAAGGCTAAGAGAGCTCGACACCACAAGACGTCTTGCAACCACCTTCAAACAACTGACCTCCACTACCTGTCCCTTCCTGGGCTGGTCCAGGGGAGAAGTAGCCATATAAAGAAAAGGGACCACGCACAAGCCCGATCACCATTGCAGGGGCCCGGGATAGACTGGCGAAACCACAAAAGCGATAGCGTATGTATGTAGATGTGTGAAACAGGGGGGTGTATCTTAGCCCGTGGCAGCTACCCTGCGAAACCCTCCCTGCCTTCCCCGGTATTTCGGGGCACCCTCATCCAGTCACCCTAGTCACCTTCTCCATGCATCGCTCAGGTTCCGCACCCACCACCAGCATCCAACGGAATCTGCCGGGTCAACAGCGGCCCAACTCCGTTCCTGGTCGGCTCGCAGGTTAACGTTATTCCAGGTCACCACCGTCCATTAACTAGGGGCGCAATGCCTTCCACCATCGGAAGGACGTTGAACCTACTGGGTCTCGATCCCGGGATCTCCCGGGGGCAATGGTCGCGCCTTACCAGTGGTGCCAAACCCTTGTATAAGTATGCATGCATGAATGCAAGCATAAAAACCGCATACTACACATCATACTTGCAGTCTTAGCTTTGCAGGCCCGCATGCATGCATGCATGTAAGTCCATGTATGTATGTATGTATGTATGTATGTCCATCCTCGTGCGCTCCTTCCCATTGACAGGGTACGAAGGCACGGGTATCTACTTACAGATCATCATTCGCATCATCGCCGACCTGCGCCATTACCTCCTCATCGTGCTGGTGACACTCCTCACGTACGCGCTGGCGTTCCGACACATCATGGTGTACTACGATCAGGTAGGTACGACATAGACTTCATGCCGTACTTGGACCCCCGGCATGTGTGCGGAACTTCTAATTTTAGCACAGCCCAATTTTGCGCCCTGCGTGTGTTGAAAGACCTCGTTGTGATGGCGGTGTCGATAGTAGATGTAAGTGCCCAGCGGCCCCAGCGGTACCTTGGGGGTCCTGTCTCTGCGGCATCACGGCGGTTCCGAGCCGTTAATGGCCCCCCCCTCGACCCAACCCTCTTCCACAGCTCCACGCCTCCCGCTCCCAGCCTGTACATGACCCACTTGTCGTCTTCCTTTCCCTCCTCTTCCTTTCCCTCCTCTTCCATTCCTTTCCCTTAACCTCCTCTTCCTTTGTTAACTATCTATCAGATTGACAATGACGCGGGCATCTCCTCCGAGTTCACCAGGAGCTTCGACGGCTTCCCCAAGAGCCTGCTGTCGGTCTACTACTTCATGGTGGGTGAGGGTGGGCGGTAGGGTGGTAGTGGGTGGGAGGGTGGTAGTGGGTGGGAGGGTGGTAGTGGGTGGGTGGGCCTCCTATTGCTCCTTGACAGGGGACAGGTGGGGGTGCATGCGACGCGGTGGCTGGGGAGGCGGCGTGGTAAGGTTTCCGGACTTAGGGCCGAAGAGGGCGGGTGGGAAGGGCAGGGCCAAGGTATATATATGTATCGCAAGGTAGGTCCTTAGAAACGAGGCAAGGGAGGTCCAGGCCGGTGGGAATCGGTGAAAGAGAAAAGGACTCGTGAGTTGAGAAGTTAGAAATCTAGTTGAGTATACTATTTAGAAATTAGATGGTCTGTTTGGGTGCATTAGATGTTTGAATTTGAGTGGATTAAGAGTACAGAGCGGCAAATAAGGAATATATGAAACATGCGAAAAGAAAAACAAGCGTTAAGCAAAGCGTTAGGCGTGTTTCAGTGCCACTTGCCCCATGGGTCCAAGCGCCCCCCAGCAGCTCCTCGCAGATGATAGCCAGTACACGCGTCTGCTTCCCAAAATAATCAGCAAAATACTATATACGGTTCAGGGAACATAATCACCCTAAGTTTCACAAAGATTGGTGAAGAACCTGAGAAGTAGCTAAATCCTGAGATCCGCCGTTGTCTGCACCCTCCACCCATTTCCTCAGACCGGTGGCGGCTTCCCAACCGACGTGGACGGAGAGCCCAAATACCTCGTCTGGTACCTCCACGTGAGTTAGTTAGTTAGTTGATCTGCAGGTTAGATGACAGTTGTGAAGGTGGCGCGAGCTGTGGCGACGAATTGAGAGCGGGAATGGTTGGCTATGTATTTGGGGTGGGGTTGGGGATGTTGGCGGTAGTGGGGGTGGTGGGGGGTGGAGGGGAGTGAAGGGGGTGCTGCTGTCGGGCAGCTACCGGCCTAAGCAGGCAGGGGGGTGACAGCCCGAGGTGGGGAAAGTGGGCGGGGAGGAAAGTCTCTGGAATAGGGGGCATGTCCTCGCGTGTGTACCGGATGTGCTGTACCGGATGTAGGTGCTTACCGGAGTCATGCTGTACATGCAGTGCGTGTACAATTGTGTTCCTTTTCCGGCTGTTATCCGCGTGTGCATCTAACTGTGTGCATATATGCGTGTAGCCTATTAACTGCACCCTCGCTGTCTCCTCTCCTCTCTCCTCCTTCCCATCTACACACTCTCTCCTCTCAACCCCAAACCTCCACCTCTGTCTCTTCTCTCTTTTCTCTCTCCTCTCCACGTAAACCTGTGTGGCGGTGTTCCGTTTCACGCCAATGCACCCGTACGAACCCGTACACACCCGCACACACCCGTACACGCAGGCCATGCTGATCAGTTTCTCCTTCATGGTATCTATCATTCTGCTCAACCTGCTCATCGCGGTCATGTCGGACACCTACATGGAGGTCAAACAGCACGCCAAGAGCGAGTGGATGCTTCTAAAGGCGAGGCTGGTGCTGGAGATTGACTCCAATATGCCAGATTCCTTCTTCACGGATAGGCGCAGGTGAGAAAGGAGGAGGAGGCTGGATAGGGAAAGGGGGGAAAGGGAGGGTGGATTAGGGAGAGGGTGAAGGGATGGGGCGAGGGAGGAAGAGGCCAGGCAGGACTGAAGGATGACGAAATCCACATGGCAGACACTTTGCTGGGTGGACGAATGGGCGTATGCTTGGTTGTATGCGTGTTTCTCACGCAGCCGGCGGGAACCCGTGGGAAGAAACCCCTGTTGCCGAACACATATCCTGATGGGCTTTTTGAGCTGCAACGAGGGACACGGTGATGCCCCCCTTAATATCTTAACCCCTTTCCCCCCTTCCTCCCCAGTATGTCTGTATGTCTATTTCCTGCGCAGACCTCCTTCCCGCAGACCGCTGCTGCCCCCCTTCCACCCCACACCCACACTATCTGCGATATCCTTTCCTTAGCCGTTACCCCCCTCTTCCCGGCACTGCTCCCCTCCTCCCCTCCTCCCCCTTTTCCTCCTTTAATCCCCACGCCACCCTCCCTCCCGCACCCCTCTTGGCTGCTGCTACGCATGCTCAGGTCCGCGCCCCGCTGGCTACATGTGGTGAACACCAAGCACACCTCCGCTTCCCCGCTGGACACCATTCGGGGCACTGTGGGTGGCCAGGCGAGTAACGGCTGCTGCACCAACCAACCAACGGCTAATGACCAAATAACCATCAATAACGAACCAGCTGACTAGCCACGCGCGCCGCACGAAGGATGTAGCTGCCGGGGGGAAGAGAGGTCGAGCTTCACAACACGGGGTTCAGATTGCATATTGCGATTTAAAGTTCCGGGCGCAT